ACTGTGGGAAGGCTTGATATGCTTCGGAAAGCGTGGAGAGCTAAATCCAAAATACTTAGGACCTCCGAGATTCTTTCCAGAATCAGACCTGTAACTCATAAACCCAACCTACACCACGAACTCAGTAACGTACATTTCACCCTTCACGTCTCGAACTTCAAAACATACCTTTCCATCAGGACTCTCGTAATCCCACTTGACGAGATCGAGATCTATGAGAGCCTCGCCTTTGTGAAGAACCGTAGTAATCATGGACCGAAAGGTCAAGCGGATGAAGCAACTCCGCGCTCCACTAGTGAAGGTTCGTTGGGATACCAACCGAGGATCCTAATTCACTTGGGAGCATGAGAACCAATCGAGTAGGAAGTATCCCCACCTCCTTGCATGATTATTCATGCCTACTCTTTACCTAAATTCTAATTTCGGGACGAAATTCCCTCTAACGGGGGGATGATGTGACAACTGGAAATTTTCCATCCTGTTCAGTCTAACACTTCATTAAAAGTCAAACTCTTTGTTGTTATCTTGTAGCATAATTAGGAGTTTATTTGAGCGTTCTAAGCCTTGTACACTTAAGGAATAAGTGTCAGGGTTTATCGGCTGAAGTGGTAGCTCAAAGAAATAACCTTAAACACCCCTATAAGGAGTTCACGGCCAACACATGGGAGTTTACAGCCGTAAACTCCATGTGGGCCGTAAACTCTTGCTTATATGATGAAGAAGTGGTCATTTGTTCATTCCTCCCTTCCCTTTGGCCCAAATCCTCTCAAGTATCATCCCGATATTCGTCCCCGATCTTCAAATATCGTAAGTTTATTATCTTAACTAGTTCATATCTTGCATGAACTAGTAATCTTACATGATTTCATCTATGAAATCATTCCATTTTGTAGATCTTCAAGTTCCACCAAGAACACAAAGAACACACACTTGTGTTCCTGACCAAAATCGACCATTCAAGCTCCTAGATCGTAAGTACTCTTTTTCCAACTCATTGTACACTAGGTTTAACATGTTTAGAGCATAGAAAACATAAGGGATCACAGGATTTAAGGAGTTTACGACCAAGACATGTTCTTGGGCCGTAAACCCCTTTTAAGGGTTCAAATGACACCCTAACCCCTTAGTAAGCCTTGGAACTTAGCATAGAACCTCATACCATTGAACTAGGGACTTCATTACACGATTTGGTACTTCATACCATGAGTTTACGGCCGTAAACTCATGGGGAAGTGGTCCCAGGGCCATAAACACCATACAAGGCCATTCTTGGACCCTAAACCCACCCAACCTCTTGTTTAAGCCTTGGAACACTTAACCACTTAAGTCATTATAGCTTTGAGCCCCATTTGGTGACCTAATTGAGAGTTTATGGCCAGGAGTAAACTCCCCTGGGGCGTAAACTCCTTAAAGTATGGTCCATTGACCATAAACTCCCGTATAAGGCCTTGCACTCCTTTGTTGCAACCGATAGCCTCCTAACACTTTGACCAAAGTGTTTTCCTCACATTAGGATGTTTATACATGTTTAATTAGTGTTATAATCATTAATTATATATATATATATATATATATATCAAGACATATGTATATATATATATATATATATATATATATATATACATATGTCTTGATATGTTATTAGGATCATTGGGTGTATCTAAGTCTTCACTTGACATCGAGCACTTATCCGACACTTCCATCCGATCCACTCATTGCAGGTGAGTTCATACCCCTTACCTTTTAAATGTTTCTAAATGTTTATAAATGCTTTATTGGGGAATACAAGTTGAATAATGCTAGTGGTTATATCAATCACATGTGATTAATAACTAGCATGCAAATGGATTTACTATACGTTAACTGTTTTACCAAGCAGATTTCTTCAAATGACTTTCTTAAATGTTTTTACATGTTTAAAACTATTTATCAAACTGTCTTACATACTGTATGTTTCCATTGAAACTCTATTACAAATGTGTTTCAAACAAAGGTTTTCCTTATACTTATACTGTCTTATTAAACAAAATACTTTAATTCGTTTTATAAACTGACATCAAGTCATCGTTTCTTAGTATTAAACTTTCAAAGGTTTTACAAAAACTTCATTTATGCTTTATATTGTCAAATGCATGCCTAGATATGTGTAGTTATATAAATAATGTTTAAAGGACTTAGGGGGGTTAGCTCACTTTATTTCCTTTTCCTCATTAGGATGTGGCCTTAGGGCATCAGTTGCTCGTCCGAATGTCGTCTAAATATTAGTTATATATCATATATACATATATAGACATTAAAGTTCCAGTAGTCAGTTTAGTACCTTTGGGTAGCAAAGGTATACTTTCGGTGATACACGTACATTACTAGTAACTATAATAGGTGTAGTTAGGAGATACTACTTACCATTCCAAGTACAAGGAATCACAAAAGAGTCAGTTCATTCATGAGTCTACACTAATACATTACATGTTACATGAATACGTTTACATAGATACGTTTACATGAATACGCTTACATGAATACGTTTACATAGATACGCTTACATGAATACGTTTACATAGATATGCTTACATGAATATGTTTACATAGATACGCTTAATGAATACATTTATATAGACACGCTTACATAAATATGCTTATAATACACGATAACAGAACAGACATAACAAGGTGCTATAGCATGGAACAAGTTCAGGATCTAAGTATACCAATGAATCACTCTGCATTGTGATTATTATATTGGGTATACATGATCATAGTAATGTGGATGTTCACGGCTTGTAGAAATGCAGGTTCGCATTTAGTTCCCAAAATCTCATGATAGAGAGCGTATAGTATGGATTCTAGCCATCACATTATACCTTAACCCTCAATTAAGGCAAATTAGTACAAAGTAGTCACTCATTACAAATACTACAGTACTTACACTTTGCATACGAAAATTGCAAACGGATTAAAAATCCGGGTAATATGTTATTAATACCTTTAACATGTTCCACATTCACATAATCAATGAGGTAGAAAATAATATCAATAAGCGTACAATCTAGTCTTGGTAGAAGGGTACTTTCAAAACAGTTACGTCTTGGTAGAAGACTACTTTTTATACTAGTAGGAATCATAGGGATTTTCTAGGGTTTTCAAATGTTTACAATTACTTACAAACCTTTTCATACTTATACAAACTTTTCTCCAAATGTTTACAAGTCTTTAGTTCACAGTTTTTAAATTAAAGTGATGAATCAAAGAATCGAGTATAGAATGAATTATAGTGTGAATTCAAAGTAAGTATGCGAGATTTGAACACCGATGTAAATATGATCTGTTTGGCTCTATTACGCTTTCTAACAGTTTACAGAGTACAATGAATAATCTGTAAAGACTTTGTTACTAAGACACTAGTAACTTCTCCTATTTATATGAGAGGAAAGCGTACAAAAAAATATACTAAGGACTAAAACATTATGCTTCGAATATTATGCCTTACTAAAATAAATTTATAGAAATGTTCGAAGACCCTAAATACAAACTTCGACAATTACAACACTTCGACCCTAACAATCTCCCCCTTTGTAATCAAAGTCGAAGTCTTCAGTTTATAAGTAGAGTGATGGAGTATAGCAAAACTATTCGAACTTCAGTGTACCAAGAAATAATCTTCTTCAATTCCTTCTTATCGCCTTCATTATTCTTTTTATAGTGGTTCATACGAACAATTAAGTTTGTATATTGAGATGTTGAATATCTCTCCACTTCGCTAGCTTGAAACAAAAATCTCTTCGCTTTTCTAGCTTTATCCTTCCCAGCAAAAACAATTCCAAACGGCTTTAAACATATTTCCCCATCTGCAAACTTCTTTAACTCAGTCTGAGTCAACAAAGGAGCCATTGGAACCTTAACTTCCATTCCTTTCGCAGTTGCCAGCTCCACATCAGTTAGTGCAAGGCACTCATAATAATTTTAAATGAAAATTTTGATGTGAGCAACTCTAAGTTTGAATTCTTTAGGATTGGTATTTTGCAAATAAGAGAAAGATTTGTCTTTAAGAAGCAATGCAACTTGTATAAGATCATACAAGTTCATCAGAGGAAAGTCAGCAATGGTGAATTCGCATGTTTTACCATTTTCCCTGGCCACAATGTATTTAACATTTTGAACAATATTTTCGAAGAGCACATCTTTCTTCATGCTAATCACCTTTTTAATCTTGATTAGTGACCAGACTTCCTCAGGTGCTTTACCAAGAACTGCATGAAATCGAATCTTCATATGGGTTCCTTCATTCTTTTCTTTAAAATTTCCTTCTTCTTTGAATTGAGGCATGATCAACATCATCTCATTAGCAGAGAAATCCAATTGGCAAGCGTCAGTGTTTGTAACCACATAACTCTGTTTTGTTTTCTTATCAAAAAAGTACATGTGGTTAAGGGCAACCAAGGCTTCAATTGTTTCATAATTGTAATGCTTAGCTGGATCACCTTTATTCATGTCGTTCGGATCTCCAGCCCTCTGAGTCATGACGCTTTGAATAAGCCTCATTCTCTCGAGTTCAGCTTCAGCTTCAGCCTACTTTTTTCTTTGGATTTTTCAACTAAAATTGATTTTCCTTTGTCTTTCGAAGTAGATTTTTCAGTTAAGTCTTTTGGCTTCGAACCACTCCCACCAGACTCCAAAGGTTTACCAATAACAATTCCTTTCAAAATTGTTCGTGTAATTGGCAATGTTGTAACAATTGTTGAAGTCACTGGTTGATCAGACACAAACACTGGCTTTGTTGATGGGATGTTCAAAGGGAATACCTTGCCCACAACTTTCGCTTCTTCTTCTGTGGACTTCCTTTCTCCCCCTTGCACCCCTGTGAAAACAGGAGGGGCAGTTGTTGTGGGAAGAAGACTAGATATTCGAAAGAATGGAGCAAGTTGCTTGTTTAGAATAGCTTCGAACTGTACAAACTTTTGTGAAAAAAATTCAGGAGTGATCAACAGAGACGAAACTGGTTTTTATGATATTTCCTTCAACTCTTTCAACATCTTCATCACTCCTTCAAAATTTTCATTTTCAAACATGGAGATTTGAGAAATTTGTGGAATCAAACCTTCATACATCTTGACAAATTTAGTAACAGTATCACATATGATATCGACCTTCTGATGTAAGGACGCATAATCATGTTGAACAGATAAAATTGCCTTGTTCATGTCTTCATGAAGCTCTTGGATTTTCGAATTCACATCCTCCCTCACTTTCTTAACCTCCTGAACATAAAGAACATGTCATTCTTTTGTTACGTTGCGTAGATCTTTCACTTCTCCCAGAAAATCAGATCTTTGAGTTTTAAGACAAAGCTTATTTGTTTGATCAGAGTAATCAATCTTCTCCATAGGCACTGTCTCCGAAGCCTTCAACATGTCTGACACTTTGGAAATTAATCTGGACTCACACAGCTTCAACATTGAATCAACCTCCAAACTGGAAATTGATGAACCCCCTCCAAGATCAGCTTGGGATTGAATAATGGAGTTCAACTTATGATTCAAAATTTTGTATTGTTTCATAGTCATGAGCATGTGATCAGGGAAATCTTCTTCTTCATCATGAAATTCCAAATCTTTGAATGTTCCTCCAAACCCTTCATGATCTGTTTCAGTGGGTGAAGTTGGTTTGGGGGTATCAGTTGATTGAGAGGAGAACATGGAAGTGATTGGTTGATTGATGATGTGTTCGAAGGTTGGAGAGATAGTAGTTGAAGTAAGAAGAATGGTTGATGTTGGTGTAACAGAAACTAATGATTTAAAAGGAGTAGAGATGATTGGACCTTGGTCTGCATCCTTCGAAACATTTTCACCTAAGCCTGAAGTTCTCACCTCCTCAAAAATTGATTTGGAAATCGAAACTTCCGGGGTGATTATGACAGTGGTCTCTGGAATTGAACTTGTAAGAATAGAGGTGACTTCCGGAGTTTCTGGTACTCGCTCATCCTCTTCTGTAGACTCACTTGATGAAACAATCTTCCGAGCCTTCTTCGTCTTCTTCTTCGATTGAGATAAATGTTTCGCCATGTCTTCTGCTGCTCGTTTCTTGGATGCAGGAGAAACAGGAACAGGAACCTCACGAAACAATACTCCTTGATGAGAAAGTTGAGGTTTGCGAAGCAGTTTCTGAGATGAAGACTTGCGTTTATGCTTGGATTTCATCTTTATTCTTCGAAACATCCCTATTTTCGAAGGAATAACCATGTTTTCTTGTGACTCTTCCGCTATTGGCGTAATCACTTGCGTTGCTTCGACTATCACAACAACATTTTTTGGCTTCTTCTTTGGAGATTTGGATGGTGTTGATCCCTTCGCTTTCTTCTCAGGTGAGGTAGGCTCAGCTTTCTTCAACTTCTTGGTCCTCTTTTCTTCACGTGGTAATAAGATTCTCGTAGGAATAGAAGAATCGAATGTTTTCAAATATGCCTGCAAGACAGGATTCAAAGGATCCACCCTTTTAAGCATTGCATCGAGAATCTGAGCAACACTTGGAAATTCATCAGCATCATCAACAACCTCCTTTGGAAAATGGTAAGACTGAAAAGTAACCTTTTCTTCTTCATTGGAGACCAGAATACCTTCCTTGTTGTAGAAATGTTGCAAAATCAGACTCCAATACCGAGCACACGAAATGCCATGAACAACATTCGTGTGTTCTACCCCTTTCTGGAACTCCTGCCATAGCTGTGTGGAGTAATTAGCAGGAAGATCATAATACAAAACAGCCACCATGGCATATATCTCCATCCTTCCTTTATCCAAGACAACTGCTCTTCCAGTTAAACAACGCAAAAAGATTCCAAACAAAAAATTCCATAGTTTTGGAAGACCATACTTCTTAAAGTCACTGATCTTTGACAATGGGGGCTGATATCCCATTTCATTAAACATACGAATGATCTGAGAGAATTGAAATTTAACAAATGGAGGTGTATTTGGAATTTCAAGAAGCTGGCAAAACAGTTTCTTGGAAAGCCTAACCTTTTTATCATTGATTAAATGAAAGGTAATCAAATCAGTGGCTTTGTTGTATGTAGTTGTAGATCCTGCTTGAGAAAGCCAGGATACCGGAACAGAAAAAGAGTTGAACGTTGCTTTTGATAAAATAGAGTGTTTTAACGCAACAATTAGCATCTTGAATTCCTCCGGACACTGCGAAAGTTCACCATCTACATAATAATTGGTAGATTGAATCTTCATAGCTGGTACAGAGGATGTATCTTCGGTGGAATCACACTACTAGAAAAAAGCCCTTTTACGACGCTCATTGCGCGTCGTAAAACGCTCATACGACGCACAAATGAGCGTCAAGGAAGGCCCTGTCATAAAGAGAGACGACACGCTTTTGCGCGTCATCTATAGACGACGCGCATTTACGACGCGCATTTAGACGCGCATTTACGACGCGTGGTTATGACACGCAATGCGTATCAAGGAAGGCCCTATCATAAATGAAGACGACACGCATTTGCGTGTCGTAACCTTACGACGCGCGTGTTTATGACACGCAATGCGTATCAACGAAGCCCCTGTCAAGAAAGGCCATGTCATAAATGAAGATGACACACATTTTTGCGTATCATAATTTTAAATGTTCTAAAAAATATATATTTATATTTATTAATTTTTAAATTAAATTTGCATTTAATGTCTCATAACAGAAAATAAAATACCATATACAAAAAATACAATCAATTGCATAAAATTTATTGTCATACAAATAACAAACTGTATTTCATATTCATACATATGATTACATTATTCATTAAAAAAACATATACCTACATCTTCCCCTAAAATGTTATTACATGATGTTGGCTACTTCATTGATGGATCACCAAGAGGAAAAGCAACAACTACCCTAAATGTTCCATGATGTGTCGATACTCATGTCCTGTAACTTTAAATATTAAAGAAAGTAAAATACCTCCTAAAAATAAAAATGCACAATAAACAATACATCATAATGAGAAATTACTAACATGAATGGAAGAAGTACACTATAAATTTGCTTTACCAAGAGTGGCATGGACGATCAGGTGCGACAAAGTTTGTCCAAGCTGCCAAAAAAAGACTGCATGCAAACCAAAACATACATACACTATAAATTTAATTACCATACAAATCATATTCATACATACGAGTTTGTTTTACCTTTTTCCCTCATATCTTTATCTTTTTTATTCTTATTATCCATGGAGTGTTGGTGTTTTCTTTTCTCTCGTTCAATCAACCCTTTGTTTTACTTTGAAAAATTAACAACTTCCCTACCGATTGACTCTGCATCAAACAGAAAAAAGTAAGTCAATCAATAGTCAATGGTGAATACCAACTACAAGTTTTTACTGAAGTAACCTGACACCATAAATACTTTGGTTTAATAAACAGGAACATGTATGTATAAAAATCGCAATTGAAGTACTTTGGTCTAATACCTCCATTTCTAGTAAGTGTCCAATCATTGTTTGTGAAGGTTGAAGACCTTCAAACAAAAAACTCCCAGCAATGTCATTAATGTGCATCTTAAGAACAGGAAACTATTGTAGTTCATGCACTAGACAACTATGGGTGATCTGAAATATTTCCCAAATATTTATTTATTCTGAATTATAAAAAAAAGAAAAAGAAAAAGAAAAAAAGATAATACCTTTACTAATTCATTGTATACAAGTCTAGCACATTGAAGACAATGATCCAACAACCAAGCTATTTGTCTTCGAACCAAAACTTGAAGTGGAACCTATATATATGTATTAAAGGGTTAAATTATTAATATAAAAAAATAAATAAATAAAAATTTAAACCTCTTGCACGAATAAAGCGGATCTAGGACCAGTTGCATGGTGGATTGTAGTGCAGATGTCTTGATCAGTTAATCTCTCAAATGGATCTACTTCCTGTGACAAGGACATATGAAATATATATATATATATATATATATATATATACATATATATATATATATATATATAGAGAGAGAGAGAGAGAAATAATAATAATAATGAACGTGTTTGCACCTGCCATTCGGACCATAGACATCATCTGCGTTTGCTCCTGAAACAATAACATAAGAATTAATAGTAAGTCAACATTTAACTATTATTTTAATTATTGATGTGAAAGAGCTCACTCACATGCTAGAATTTAAAAGCCCAACGCTCAGTACCATGTTGTTGCTCAAGGATAAAGCCCACGCATTCGGGTCCCCACCGTGTTCTTGGGAAAATTCATCAGCCCAACCATCTGCACGGGGCCCGAGCCCCATGAGTTGCGACTCCCCCCAATACTGATCCAGCTCTGCGTATCTATCAGGCATGTGCTCCCTAACCAACCCCTCATGATTATCGATCTCTAGATAAGATAACAGAGCATTCACCTGAACAAGTACTAATATATGTATTCAGTTCATCTATCAAGATTGCATCTTAGGTAGGTCAATAGAGTAGTTGTAGATACTCTAATTTTCATGGTTTATAGAACACGTTGTGATTTCATCTTTAATAGCCCTGCCAAATATTTTGATTTGAATACTTAATTACCAAGCAACCTTTCAGATTACAGAAAATGATAAGAACACCAAGCATGGTCATGTCACTAAACAAGGCCTTAGCTTATTACAATAGAATTGGTTGTTGTTGTTGGAAAGAAGAATATTTGATTTTCACCTAACTTTCCTAATTCCTAGTTTAATTCTCTTGTTTATATGTAAAATCTTCATCAACTTTTTCTTATCTAATAAGGTTGTTCCCTCCCTGAATCATAACAAGGAACGTGAAGAAAAATCTCAAATATTTTTATTAGTCAAGACTTAAGACCATATCAACCTTCAAGGCTGTTACATCTAACTCATATAGTGATCAATAATGTGTGTATATATAGAAAAAGTGTAGGTTGTGTCATCATACCTTAAATGAGAAATTATTGAATGAGTAATTCACATTGAGAGTTGAAGCACCAAATTCTTCCAGGTTACCACATTCATCACCCGGCCTGTTTAATCACACAGCCAAATGATCAAGGATTACAAAAGAAACCAGGTATGTGTGTGTCTGTGTGTGTGTGGAAAAGGATGCATGGATATGAGATCATACCTCTTCCTCTAGCATATTGCCGAAAGAATTATCACCAAATGTGCTGCCTGTATCAGACATATCATCGAAATCGCTGCCTCCATCAACCTACTCATCTTCTGGATTATGAAATAACTTGTGTCCAGAGTCTCAGCAGATGGTAAAATATGTAGCCTGATTGAAACATACCCCCACACAACTCAACTCAACTCAACTCTTATAAAACAATTTTTTTTCTTAAAATAAAAGTTAAAAATAGATGAAATTACCTTCTGCCTTGTAAGTGTGTCCCAGTGGATATTCTTAAAGAAATGGTCCATCTCTACCTGTTTGTTTATCATTAATAAGTCACACACATTATTTATCAATTAACTTCCTACCTCTTTGCCTTTTATATATATATATATATATATATATATATATATATATATATAATGGAGAGAGAAAATGTTAGCTGTACAGCCCCTATGGCACCAAGGCGTTGAGCTGGATTTTCAGTCAGCAACCTAAAATTGAAATAAACATAAACATAATTATAATTATGCATAAATATGTGATGATTGGATTGATTGATAAAAACGTAGAAACTTACTTATTAATCAGATCATATGCTTCATAGCTCATCTCCTCAGGAATCTTGGGCCATGTTATATCTCTGTTCATAATGTTGGCAAAGACTTGTTGCACCCTAACCCAACCAAATTCAGAAAATGAGAAGATGACCAAAGTACGTTTGTTACCTTTTTATGCAATGCAATGCAATCTACCCTCCATCCTCAACAAAGTGTCAGACTTTTATGAGAGTGAGTACCTGTGGAGATTCTGCATTAAACGGTGGTATCCCTACAAGTAGCTCAAAAAGAATAACACCAACAGACCACCAGTCAGCAGTTGCACCTACAAAAAACTAAACCAAAGGAACTAAGTGTGTTTCAACTTTCAATATATAGATAAGCAATAAGCAGAAAGACATTTGAATAAATGATAAAGGGTAAAGGGCAGGGGGTATAATTGTAAATTCCAACCATGTCCCGCGCCAAGAAGTATCTTAGGAGCCAGATAGTCAGGAGTCCCAACAACCGACTATTTCTAAGAAGTTCTAGTGGGATTCACTGAGTCAATTCCAGTGGCCTAAGCCCTTTTGATATTTATTAGCAACAATAGAGAATGCCTTCAGATAAGTTGAGTTATTTTAAGCGGAATACATTTAAACAACACTACATTGTCATCTGTTTTCATCTCTCTCAACTTGGCAACAAAGTTAGCAGGTTCTGAATAAAGTACACGTGGATCTGCCAAAACATGTCATACATACATACCTCCAGTTAAACAATACATTAGATATATCAAGAAAATGATATTGGCACAAATTACCAAATAAAAAAAAGTAAACACTACAATATGTCATTGTTGTCATCTTCTGGAAAGGACAACCTACCATTATTCCAGCAGTAACAACTATGGCTGGATAATTCTAAGATTTTACCTATTCAAAATAGACACCCATCAGTAATTAACTTCAACATTTTCATTTGATGATCTGTCAGATGGATTTATTTCAGTTAAACTGAAGCAAGATACATTGGCACTCACATTGTCAACTGGTGAATATGATTTCATGTAAAAGTAGAACTCTTCTTTCCGAGGATCACCCCATTCCTGCAATAGAGCAAGTCATTCACATTTAGAAAGAAACATACTAATATTATCATAGCATCCTGCTTTGAGTTTCCAAAACAAAAAAATATTATATGTAAATCACCTCCCATTCTGCAATTATAAGAGGAATAGTTGGACCAAGCATTGTAGTCACAACATCTACAAATGGTACTCCAGCTACAGTAGCCTTAAATAAATCAGGTCTCATGTTCACAACAGCACCAATAAGCAACCCCCCTTCACTTCTTCCATTAATGGACAGTTTTTCTTTCGTACAATATTTCTTTTGGTCTGAGAAGTTTTAGTTTCACCTATGTCGTTGGGTGATTGAAGGTGACGAGGCTGCGTTTTCTTCTTAGATAGAGGGAGGGCAAGAAAGTAAACACAAACCTCACATATTAGAGAGGTTATCGAAACCAGTAAGGGGAACACCAATGAAAAATCCAACGGATTATTGAGAGAAAAACTGATTTTTGTTTGTTTAAAAGCTATCGAAGTATCAAGAAATTTCCAATCCAGGAGAATTCAGAAAGCAGATAGATAGGTACCTGATTTGACTAGAAGCGCAACTGGACTAGGGTTTGTAAATTTAAGGAGTCGTTGTAGATGGAGTAGGGTAGAGGTGAAGAGGAGTTCATTTACGAATTTTATGTTGACATTATTGTGTCTAAATTTCACCATAAAGATACAATCGAGAGAGAATGGTCTTCGATTTTTGGAAGGCAGCGAGGCTGTTACAGAGAGGGGGGATCAGACTCAAATGGAGATCTAAGGAGAGAGTGAGCGGTCTTCGATCCGATCGATAGAGAACCATCGCCATAAAGATACGATCGAGGAAAATCGTCTTAAGAGGGGAAATTATTTGGGAAGAACTTGAAGCATTTGAAACCCTAGACCTTGATTCGATGTAACTTGACAGTGGACATTGTAGATTGATAGATTGAAGACCTGGAGCGATCCCTTGTGAAGAAAGTTGCGCGATTACAGAGAGTCCTTGTTGACCGGATCCAAAGATTCCGTCAATGGCTCTATCGGGTTTGGTTAACTCCCCAGTTTGGAATGTGCTACATCTGGTTCATGAACTTGCCAAGTCAATTAGGGTTTTTTTTAATGAAAAATGAAAGGGGTTAATGGATTAGGATGATGTTGTACCTGAGAAAACAAAGAAAAAGAAGGAGACCTCGCAGATCAATTACGATTCACCTTCGAGGTTTACAAAGAGATGGGATGTAGAGAATGAAGGGAGATCTAGAGGAGAGAGTATCAGAGAGGGGAGAGTGGATTGCAAGGATGAAAAATAGATAGAAGATAGAAAAACAAGGCGGGTTTTCAAAATTTTGGGGATTTTGTTTCCCCCTTCATTAACTAAAAGCGCGTTTCATTAAAATTATAAAGCGACATGTACGGACGACGCGCGTTTAAGATAAAGCACCCTCCGTGTTTCTAATTTTTTTTCTTGAGACACCAAATTAAGGGCACGCAATAATGCATGACGTAAATCCTTAAATTTTTTGGAGAGATAACACTATTTTAAGGGCACGTCCCATTGCGTATCGTTAATCAGCGTGTGTCGTAAAAAGCGCGTCATTAAAGGTCTATTTTCTAGTAGTGTCATCGGCATGAGAAGTAGTCTCCATTTTTAGGGTTTGAAGAAGATGAAGAATAGAGAATTTTGGGAATTTTTAAGTGTCTGATCGCGTAAACGTATAATGTACTCTAGAACCCCCTTTTATATGTAACGTTGGATGTTTTGAATTTGAAGCAGGATGCATTTAATGAGATCCGACATGGCACCTTGAAAATCGGACCAGTTCTGCGGAAAGTTAGCCACGCGTTAAAAAGTGTCGGTCACATCTCCTAGAAAATCGGGCTGAATACCATACGTCACGGTTACACAGCCTGTCACTATCCCCCTTATTGAATTGTAACCATTAGAACCCTTCGAATGGAGGCAAGGCTCTTTCACTTTTGGGATGAAAAGCGAAGTCATATGCCAGATGTTCGAAATCATCAGCCTGAGTTGGTATTACTCAGAACCTCAAGGATTTCGTGTGTGTAGTGTGCCAAAGAAAGGTTAGACAAGAAACAATTAAAAAAAATTGGAATGTAGTGATGTCAAAAATGCAATTTGACACGAAGGCAGTTAAACCCCGGGCAAAGGTTGCTTCATTAATCATCAAGAGAGATGATCAACAGCTTGTGTGTGTTCCCGTGAAGTACAATCGACTACTTTTTGATAAGCATCAAAGGGATTCTTTTAAAAGTAATTCTTGGGTTGGTTTAAAATTTCGTTACATGTCAAACTAAACATAAGTTGATAAATTGTAATAGAAATTACTTGTTTGACCAGTGTAGTCAGTTACATGTCAACCTAAACATAAGTTTTCGGCCCAATGACCATATCCCCATGAGTTTATGGCCGTAAACTCATGGGTGGTGGGTTCTTGGTTGCTAAATGGTCTTACAACACTTGTGGGGTGATGCTAGGTTTAGTTCTAAGGCATTGGAAGGGATTTGATCAACATATGGACCATATAAAGGAGTTTACGGCAATAAACTAGGATTTTACGGTCGTAAACTCTCAATTACCCATTCTTATTGTGTTTTGGTGATCCTAGGTTAAGCCCAAGTGTTTCTAGTCCAAAGTACAAGCCATGGAAGGAAGTTACGACACCATTTGACCACCACAAAGGAGTTTACGGCCCAGGAACCATTCCTTGGGGGTTTACGGCTGTAATCTCCCTAAGGGATATTTTCTTGCATGTTTAAGGTCCCTTACACAATGGTAGATGATTCTAGACATTATTCCAGGGCTTAGGAGGTGTTTAAAGGGCATTCTAACACCTTAAAAGGTGTTTACAGCCTATGAAAGGGTGTTTACGGTCCAAGCATGTTCTTGGGCTGTAAACTCATGTTTACCCCTCAAATGATAAGGTTTTGGTGTTCTAACTCCAATATTGTAAGCCCCTAAGTCATACCTAAGCTCCAGAAGTGTTTTGGAAGGGTTTTGGGGCTCCAAAACCCCATTTAAGGGTGTTTACGGATTGGGGCTATTCCTTGGCTGTAAACACAAGTTCTTGGTCCTATTTCATGATTTAAACACGAATTTGAAAGCCAAACGAATTATACTATGAGCTAGGAAGGATTACATACCAAATTGGAGCTTGAAAGGGGTGATTTTGGATCAAAGATTGAGTTTGTAAAGAGAGAGTAGAGAGAGTGAAAAAGCTTCAAATGAAGCCTACTCAACTTTGTATATGGTTTGAGTTTGAGGCTTGGTGGAATTCTACCCGATACCGACGTTAAACGGGGCTTTTGGTCGTACCCGATTAAGTTTTCGTAACCCGATGTGGTCGAAACTATAAATTTTCCAAGTGAATATTGGGAATGTTTTCACTTGTTTCTAATGGTTTGGACACTCACGAGATTATAATGAAGGTCTCAATTTAATTAACTTAACTGAAAACTTAACGGAAAAAATCAGAAATACAAACGGTTTTATTAATGGAAACGGGTTATCATGATAGAAAAATTTTTCGGATTGTCACATAGTCCATGGAGGTTAAACCCATGGAGCATAAGAATGTAAAAGGTCATGGAGAATTAAGGTTTGCATGAATGTAACCCTAGCTTAGCAATACTATAAAAGCATACCCTTAGTCCCAAAATCGGCACCCCTAGCAATTCTCGACACGACCTGCGACACAACACGAAATAAACGGGTTTGGGTTGAGTTTTTCAACCCGTCAACCCGTTTATAAAACTGGTCATATATTGGTTTCTCAAAAAATATACGGGTTAACCCACCAACCCATTTAGAACTTTAATATAAAAAAATTATATATTTTTTAAATGTATTAAGTATTATACCCTATACAATTTCTACTTTATACTAGGACAGTATACCCAATGTCATTGACCATTTGACACGTGAGTAACCATCTGCTGATTTGCATTACAACACGTTTGACGTTTGTCATAAATAAATAATCTCAGTATCTCACAAGAATGGTGACATGAACGATTAAATCGTTATCGAACGACGTCGATGGCTGCGTTTGAATTTTCTATGTTTGTATTAATGTTTTAGTTTGAACATGTTTCCATGAATGTTTTTAATTTTCATTTGGATGTTTAAGACTTAACTTTCTAAAATTTTGATATGTTTGCATCAAGAATTTATTCATGTTTAATTATCAATTTTATTTATGGAATCTGACCCACACACGAACTTAAATCTGACCCACGAACCTGTCAGCCTGTCAACGGGTTTAAATAAATGGGTTGACGGATCATATATCGGTTTATGTTCCACAACCCATGACCTGTCTAATTAAATGGGTCGTGTTTGGGCTGGTATATTTTGATCCGTCAACCCGCGACCCGCCAACCCGAACACGACACGATTGTCAGGCCTAGATGTAGGTAGGTAGGGGTGTAGTGGATTGAGGGTGTTAAGGTGAGGGTAGGTAGAGGTGGATGGGGTGGGAGTGGGTGTGTGTTTATATTTTAAAAAATATAGAAAATAATGATTATCAGTTTTACAAAAATTTCCAACTTCTTTGTAATTTTAGAAAACGAAAATTTTTCATTTTCCGTGAAAATTTAAGAAAAATAAATGAACTAAACGCATTTTCAAAATCTCATTTTTCTTAGAAAAAAATTCTGGAAAACAATCCATTTTTCTGTAACTAAACAAGTGTATGTATGTGTGTGTGTGTGTGGTGATGGTGTAGTAATGGTGTCGATGGGGTAGTGGTGGTGGTGATGGTAGGTCGATGATTGTGGTAGTGGTGCAAGGTGGGTGGGTGAGTGTGTATGGGGGGTGGGGTGGGTGTAAGTGTGTGTGTGTGTGTTTGTGGGGGTTAGTGAGTGTGTATGTTTATAGGTGTGTGGGTGGGGGTGAGTGTGTGTTTGTGGGGTTAGGGTGTGTGTGGGTGTATGTATGTTTGTGGGGGTTGTGTGTGTGTGCGTGTGTGTTTGTGAGGGTGTGGGTGTGTATGTGTGTGTTTATGGGGGTTGATGTGCGTGTGTGTTTGTGGGGGTGGGGTGGGATTGGGAGTGAGTGTTTATATTTTAGAAAAAATTTGGAATTACAGAAATATGAAAAATAATGATTATCGTTTTTTCAAAAATTTCCAACTTCTTTACAATTTTAGAAAACGGAAAATTTTTATTTTTCGTGAAAAATTTAGAAAAATAGACGAA